GGAGGAGGAGGAGGAGGAGGAAACTCGAGCGGGAGAGGAGGAGGAGGACCGGGAAACTCAAGCGGAGGAGGAGGAGGACCGGAGATCTCGAGCGGGAGAGGAGGACGAGGAGGAGGAGGAGGAGGAGGACAGGAGATCTCGAGCGGGAGAGGAGGAGGAGGACCGGAGATCTCGAGCGGGAGAGGAGGAGGACCGGAGATCTCGAGCGGGAGAGGAGGAGGAGGAAACGGAAACTCAAGCGGGAGAGGAGGAGGACCGGAGATCTCGAGAGGGAGAGGAGGAGGAGGAACAGGAAACTCAAGCGGGAGAGGAGGAGGAGGAACAGGAAACTCGAGCGGGAGAGGAGGAGGACCGGGAAACTCGAGCGGGAGAGGAGGAGGAGGAACGGGAAACTCGAGCGGGAGAGGAGGAGGACCGGAGATCTCGAGAGGGAGAGGAGGAGGAGGAACAGGAAACTCAAGCGGGAGAGAAGAACCGGAGATCTCGAGCGGGAGAAGATCAGGAAGGGGAAGGGGTGGTTTCAATGATTCAGGTCGCACTGTTGCAGAAAGGGAGGCAAGAAACTCCCAAGAAAACAGGACCCCCCAGAACCGTAGGGAGCAGGGGACGCTGCCTCCTAAGCTCGGATACTTGATCATGAGGAGTGCACCTCTCAAGAGCGTCAACGAAGCTCGCATCTTCGTTGAGGAGATATCGCAGGTGAAGGAAGAGAACTGGTGTCTAGGCTTGTTGACCGATGGTGGCGGGAGGCTTCGTCTGGAAGAGATCTTCCAGTCAGAGCACGTCGTCTGGTCAGCTAACAGAACTATGCCGCTCGAACAAGCATGTACTATGAAGGAAGTGCTATTACCACTCATGAAGTGCTGTCAGCATCTTATTACAAATTTTCCTCATCTAAATCGTCAAATCCATGTGTTGATGACAATCTTCAACTACAATGCTCAATTCGTCGATAGCCTGTTGAACTTGATTGCTGATGAGAGAGAAAACATTCCATCAAGATTGGATGTTGAAGAGCTGCACGCAGTCTGTTTCTTTGCCGTGAAATTTCTTCGAATTCTCCCCCAGAAAGAGACGCACGAGAGATATCTTGGACTGCTTCACAACCTTGAACAGAGACTTGCTCAACTTACCGCCAATTCACGGAAGCATGACGCCTGGCTGACATTGGACGCGTTGAAAGCATTGATCGACAAGCAAGCCCCAGTAGAGGTGCCTAAACCCAGAGCTCGGAAGCAAACCAGCGCCTCCCCGTTGATCTTCCTACCATACTCAGGACCAGGCGAGCTGAACGAAACTGGCAGGCGACATGACAACGACCAAGTCGATATCGCGGATATCAATATCATCCCAACTCCCAATGAGCTGCTAGCCGAACAGCCGCCTTGTCTGCCACAGAACAAAGCGACTGCTCCACATCACCTTGCTCCTGACTCCATCCAGAGACTCCTTGACGTTCATTTCCGCCTTTTTCGGCATGATTCGATCGCAAACTTGGCGGATCTGATGCAAAACCTGAGTAGGAGAAAATCTGCGGTGGTAGATTGGTTCAACAAGAAATCAGGAAGTGACAAGCATCGCATGGATGTCGAAGGAAGCTCAAACTTCCACTCCTTCTTCGTCTTCAGAAATGTTCGCTTCCTTGACTACGCCTTCAACAACATCGCAGGGGTGGTGCACCGATACGAGATGGATCAAATTGTGTCCTTGAAGAACGCCAAGAAGGCAATGATGGAGCAAGAATGGAAAGCTGGAAAGATCCAAGCCCTCCAGAAGGACGACGTTGTGCTTCTTGTTCGGGTGAACAAACTCGCCGAAGAAGATTTCAGCAGGTGCTTCGGGTTAGCAACGGTCACCTCGATTACTCCAAAGCATAAAGAAAATGCACAGTGCAACCGGATTGAGGTGGAACTCAAACTTGAGCCCTTGGAAGGTTATGACGTGGAGGACTTCAAACGCCTACACGAAGTCTACGGCATCATCGATCCTCGTTGCGGTTTCTACAGCTTTAAGAGTATTCTCCAGACTTTGCAAGCAACCGAGTATGAGAGTATCTCCCCTGTCCTCGCTCAGCTTGCTCTCAGCACTGAAAATCTTATTCCTGTGTTTCCCAAGAACCTTGAAAGCGTCGTTTGGAACTTTGAGTGTCTGCTAAAGCCTGACCTTGACTGGCAGCTGAGGCAGGAAGTCCTGCCCTTGCTGCGGGCAGTGACGGCAGAGCATCTCAGGGATGACACCTTGAGAGCTTTGCTGATCGAGCGGCTGCAAGGTGTGAGCTACTTGGACGCAGAGCAGACGAGCGCGCTGGTGCAGACGCTGACAAGATCCTTGGCCATTACTCAGGGCCCGCCAGGTGAGACGAGCTGCTGGAGTTTGAGCCGATGACAACCGTTACAGGCACAGGGAAAACGTTCCTTGGCATCGCCATCGTCAAGCTGCTGCTGGCCAACGGAGTGATAGGACCTGGAAGCCCCCTGCTATGTGTCTGCTACACCAACCATGCTCTAGATCAGTTCCTTGAGCACCTCCTCGATGAGTTCCCGGGCCTCCAACTTGTTCGGCTCGGAACGCGTACACGATCTGAACGACTTACGGAGTACTCCCTGGACAGCTTTAGGGAGACGATCTCCCGCAGTCAGCGTTCAAAGCCCTTGAGATTTCAGTTCGGTCGACTCCGTGCAGAGGAAGAAGAATGCGAAGACGAGATAGAAAGGCTTGATGAACTCATCAACATCCGTAAGCTGTCTTGGGAGGCGTTGGGTGATTATGTGGAGATTGAATTTCCGTCAATCTTTGACGGTCTGGTCGAGGCAGCGAACTGGATTCGCGAATCTGACTTCGAGCTCAACACCAAGAAAGACATCCTTCAGCTGTGGCTCAATCCCCTCAGGCGAGTGAAGATCAAGAAAGGCAAGGGCAAGAAGAACAAGCAAGCAGCGTTCTCCAACACTTATGCATGCCTCGGCAATGACAACGAAAAGCAGCCCCAAGACCCGGCGGAGGATGCGCAGAAGACGAATGGAGGGCCAACAGCAGAGAGCGACCGAGAAGAAGCGATGATGTTGCGGTACTTCTACCTCCCTGAGAACCCGGTGGAGTTGCAGGTGGATCAAGACCAGGAGCTGCCTGAGATCGGAGACATCTGGGCCCTCTCCTTGCACTCGAGGAATCAGATCGTACAAATGATCCTCAGGCACTTCAAAGAGTCTCAGACGGAGATCAGGCTCTCCCTTTACGAGCGACTGGCAGACATCCACGAGCAGAGGAGGCAGTTGCTGCGGGCCCAACAAGTGAGCTTTCTCAAGCAGCACTGCAGCGTCGTCGGATGCACAGTCACTGGGATGAGCATGTTCCGGGACCTCATCAACGGCTTGCAGAGCCAAGTGGTTCTCATCGAGGTTCGCACACCTTCCTCCTTGTTCCTCCTCTGTCCTCCCCTGGTCCTTTCGCTCCGCGCTCCTCCTCCTACATCCGTTCCTCGTCCATGTAACGTGGTTGCAGGAAGCAGCTGAGATCCTCGAGGCTCAGACTTTGTCGCTCATCGGAAGCTCCATCCAACATGCCATCTTCATCGGAGACCACAAGCAGCTTCGCCCCAAGGTGAACTGCTACGACCTGACCGTCCAGTCCAAGTCCGGCTACGACATCGACAGGTCCTTGTTCGAGCGCCTCGTTGAAGATCGCGACACCCCAACCTCCGTGCTGAGAAGGCAGTACCGCATGCGCCCTGAGATCTCCGACCTGATCCGGCAGACCATCTATCCCGAGCTGCTGGATGGCGATCGAGTGCTGCAGTACCCGCAGGTGAGCGGAGTGGTATCTCCGGTGTTCTTCTGGAGCCATTCAGTACCCGAGGATAAGTTCCAAGACAAGGACATGAAGTACCAGACGCAGGAGGGCTCGAAGACTAACATGCACGAAGTTGCCTGCGTCATCGCACTCATCCGCTACCTGGTTGCGCAAGGTTATGGGACAGATCGCATCACAGTCCTGACGGGGTACCTCGGCCAGAGCGTCTTGATCAAGAGAGAGCTGAAGAAGGTAGCGTTTGCAGCTTTCCTCGGAGAGAAGGACAGGGAGGAGGCAGAGCTGCTCTTGGCCGACGAGGATTCCAGCGACGAGGGAGAGGAGGGCAAGCAAACTGCGACTGAAGTCTCCAGTGCCGGCATCAGAGTTGCTACCATCGACAACTTCCAAGGCGAGGAGAACGACATCATGATCCTGAGCCTCGTCCGTTCGAACCCCAAGAAGGTCTCTGGCTTCATGAAGGTTGAGAATCGCGTCAACGTCCTGCTGTCTCGTGCCAAACACGGCATGTACCTCGTCGGCAACACAGAGACGATCACGTTCCACGACCGCATGTGGACCAAAGTCTTGGGCCTCCTCTCTCAACGAGCTTGTGTGGGCGACGCCTTCCCTATCGTGTGTCAGAAGCATCCCAACGACATCCGTTACTGCAAGCACCCCCAGGACTTTCTCAGGCTGTCTCAGGACGGAGGCTGCATGCTACCCTGCGAGGCTCGCTTGAGTTGCGGGCACGTCTGCCCTCGCGCTTGCCACCCCGACGGCCATCAGGGGTTCCAGTGCCTCCAGCCATGCACGAAGAGGCCGAAAGGCTGTCAGAAGCAGCACGAGTGCAGGAAGCTTTGCTTCCAAGACTGCGGCCTCTGCTCAGAGATCATCACGGACGTCAAGCTGCATTGCGGCCACTTCAACTCGATCGAGTGCTGGAAGACAGCTGACCCCAGGAAGGAGTACTGCTCTCAGACCGTCACCATCGCCATGCCGGTCTGTGGCCACGAGGTTCAAGTTCCCTGCAGACTGTCTGACCAATACTTGGATGGAGAGTTGCTCTGCCCTGTGCCATGCGGCGGGCAGTTGAAGTGCGGCCATGGCTGCACGTCTCCTTGCGGCAAGTGCCTCCGAGCGGGGTGTGCAGCACAAGACATTGACTTCATGAGCTCCGAGTACAGGGATATTGTCCCGTTGCATGCCAAGAGCTGCAACGTGCGATGCGAGCAAAAGTTGTCGAACCTGTGTGGTCACACCTGCAGAGCTCCTTGCCATGCCTTCTACGGCACCAAATGCGGGGAGGCCGTGTGTCAGGACCAGTGCACTCTGGCGTGCCAGCACTCGAAGTGCTCCAAGCCATGCGGCGCCATGTGTACACCTTGCATGGAGCGCTGCGACTGGGCGTGCGAGCACGTGAAGCCATGCTCGCTCCTCTGCTTTGCCCCCTGCGATCGCCTTCCCTGCAACAAGAGGTGCAACAAGAAGCTCAAGTGCGGCCACCGGTGCCCCAGCGTCTGCGGCGAGCCATGCGGCCCTTACGAGCGCTTCTGTCCCACCTGCGACACGACCGGCAAAGTCCGCAAGCTGCAGGTCGACCTGCTGACCTTCTCGACGCTAGAGGAGGCGAACCTGGACGAGGACCCGCTCATCTTGTTTCCCTGCAAGCAGCACGCTCTCCAGATCAGCTCCGCTGACGCGCACATGGAGCTGCACAAGGCATACGTGCAGGACGAGAAGGGCGACCTGGTGGGGCTGAAAGAGGAGGGGGTGGCGACCAAAGACTCGTTCCTCAACAAGCTCTGCCCGTTCGGATGCGGGAGGACGAAGAACGACGGGTACAGGATGAGGCGGTACGGACGGGTGGTGAATGCTAGGAATGCGGTCCTCTGCCAGCAAAAGATCATCATCCAGACGAACGTGCTGCTGAAGAACTTCAAGGACGAGAACCTTGAAGCGTCTCTGTCCGGAGAGAGCAAGGCCAGGCTCTTCGAGGAAGCTTGTAGGATCCACGAGCAGCTCAACGACTTCAAGAACACCATCACAACAAACATGAAGAAGAAATCCTCCTCCTCCATACACCAACGACTGGTAGAACCGCTCCCGACGGTTCGCGCAAAGTCCATGAACGTGCTCCTGCGATGTGCGATGGGCGTTGAAATTCCCCTTAAACCAGAACAGGTCAAGGAGATTCAAGACAGCAGCTTTGTTCTACTTCAAGACCTGGTGGAGCTGAAAGCATACTCTTCCTTCTTGTCGCTCACGGACTCCCTGCTCTTGTACCTCATCGAACGAAGGGACTTCGTGTCCATCCGCAACTTCTTCGACATTCTTGGCGTCGTGATCAGCTCGGAGCTGCCAGACAACATGATGCACAAGGTCGTGTGTCAAGCCATGATGTGCTGCTGCACACTGATGTCAGCCGGAAAGTTGAAGCTGACCAAGAATCTCATCATTGAGGTTCAGAACATCGTGGACTCTTCCGCTGCCTACCTCAGAGCATGCCGTCCTGGGGAGCAACTAGAGGAGTGGAAGCAGCTTGCTGACTCGTTCAGTATGCTCCTGATGACCATGAAGCGCTACAATGAGAAAGAAGTCAACCTGAAAGGCCTCTCACGTATGCTGTCCGAAGTTCGCCAAGTGTTGATTCAGCAGGCAAAGTCACTGCAGACGTCAAACGATCCAGAGGTGGCCAAGGCAGCTGGGCGCGTGTTGCAGAAGCTCGACACTGGTCAGTCCGACACTTTCGTCTCATCTCGTGCTGACTTGTGTGCCTGCAGGAGTCTCTCGGGAGGTAAAGGAGGAGGAGGAGGAGGAGGAGGAGGAGGAGGAGGACCACAGGACGAGGAAGATGAGTAGGAGCAGGACGAGAAGCAGGAGCAGGACGAGGGGCAGCATGCAGGAAGTGGACCTGGAGGAGCAGGAGGAGCAGGCAGGAAGAGGAGCAGGAGCAGGGGAAAGGCGGGAGGGGTCGAGGACGAGGATCGGGGCAGGCAGTCGGACTGACATTCTGCCAGGACTTCCAGCAGATCTTCAAGGCCATCCAGTTCCACCCATCGGACGAGGGATGGAACGGAGGGCACTGGTACGCCTGCCCCAACGGTGACGCACAAGTCGTCGGTGTTGCAGGAACTAATCTGCCGGTAGGTCACCCCTACGTCATTGCAGACTGCGGCGGAGCGATGGTGACCGCCAAGTGCTACGAGTGCGGAGCGATTGTAGGGGGGGAACATCACCGTCTGCAAGACGCCAACCGAGTCATCAGGTCGGAGGAAGAGCTGTTGGCGATGTCAAGGTCGCATGCTGGTCCTTGAGAACAAGTTTTGTGGATCAGTGTATCCCTCTACAGGTGGATCAGTATACCCCTCTACAGGTGGATCAGTATACCCCTCGACAGGTGGATCAGTGTATCCCTCGACGTCGGACTAGATCATTACATCCCTGGACGTCGGAGTTTCTTTCACTACATCGCATCGTCATTGCAGCGGAAGCAGGGTTTCGATGAGAACGTAGAGAATGCAACATCTCTTATACACACTTGCTTGCCCTATCTCCAACTTTATCCCCAATTACTTCCTCAGCTAGCCAGCCAGCCAGTATGTAAGTCAGGTCAAGTCCAGTCTAGTCCAGTCCAAACCAGTCCAATCAAGTCCAGTCAGTTTAGTCCAACCAAGTCAGGTCAGGTCAGGTCAGTCCGGTCAAGTCAAGTGAGTCCAGTCCAGCCCAGCCCAGCCCAGTCCAGTCAGGTCAAGTCCAATCAAGTCAGTCAAGTCAAGTCAAGTCAAGTCAAGTCAAGTCAGTCTAGTCAGTCAGGTCAAGTCAAGTCAGTCAGGTCAACTCAAGTCACGTCAGGTCAGGTCAGGTCAGGTCAAGTCAGATCAAGTCAAGCTCATCATCTCCTCGCCTTCCTCTGCCTCTCGTCCTTTCATGTCAAAATGTCTGAGCGCTATGAAGAACAAACCAAAACAAGAGGGATCGAGAGCGGTGTTCCCATGAAGAGGGGTGGGGGTAGTAACGAAGGGTGTGAACAGAGGGATTCCTGCCTACATGGGAGGGGGTACTGAAGAACAAGTAGAGGGTGGGGTAGTCATCACTTGACAGAGCGGTTGAAATGCGGGCAGGCTTCGATTCGGATGGGCCGTTGGGGATGCTATCGGCGAGAGTGAAGGGAATCAGTGCTGGCATGCAATGCAGAGAGCGGTAGACCCCTCTTCGTCCTCGTCCTCGTCCTCGTCCTCGTCCTCGTCCTCGTCCTCGTCCTCGTCCTCGTCCTCGTCCTCGTCCTCGTCCTCGTCCTCGTCCTCGTCCTCGTCCTCGTCCTCGTCGTCATCCTCGTCCTCGTCCTCGTCCTCGTCCTCGTCCTCGTCCTCGTCGTCATCCTCGTCCTCGTCCTCGTCCTCGTCCTCGTCCTCGTCCTCGTCCTCGTCCTCGTCATCCTCCTCGTCCTCGTCCTCGTCATCCTCCTCGTCCTCGTCCTCGTCATCGTCCACCTCGTCCTTGTCCTCCTTTGTCCTCCTTGTTCGCCTCGATCTACCCACGTCTTCCTCATGGCCATTGCCATAGAAGAAGCTCAAAACTCCCGTCTCTTATCCTGTCATCCTGCCTGCGTCTCCTTGCGGCGTCATCTTGACCCATTTCAACCAGGAAGGAAAAAATGATTGAGAGTGCGCGGGGAGAGCATATAGAGTTGAAGACTGAGTGGGAGGAGAAGTATGGGATCACACGATTGGACCTTGAGAGTTTGCAGGCGAGCTACCCACATGTTTTATCAGCAACATCGCTGAATGACATTTGTTTGTCACAGAGAGTTTTTGGGCAGCTAGACAGAGAAAAGAAGGAATTTTTTTGTTCTGTCTTGTCAACCCTCTCATGGGATCCTCTCACAGGGCAAGATTGGGCCGAGCGATCTCAAAGCTTGTTTTAAGAGGTTGGAATACGAGCCGCAGGTGTGATAGACGTAGATAGGATGGTTGCGAAGAGAGGTTGATATTTCTATTCCCAGGATATCACAGACTTCGGCAACAGGTTTTCGTCTTCTTCCTTGATTTGTATCATTGAGCATATAATCTGTTAACCTGTCTCGTTCCACTTGGTACAGTGAAGTGGAAGATATGATATGGGAAACGGACGAAGATGGCGATGGAATGATAGATTGGGAAAACTTTGTCCTCCTCTACGGAAGAGCACGTTGCGACAAGAAGTCGAAGGTCTGAAGGGCAAGGGGTCGTCTTCAAACGTTGACTCCATCTCTCACGTCAGGAGCCTCGCCGGCTGTTCAACTTGATCGACTTCATGATGTGCGATAAGGCAAGTGTTGAGCATCATGGGGACTCGTCAGGCTTGCTGAGCCTCGTGTGCTGATCGCGGTTGGAAGGATGCGGGCGGGACGATAGACGAGGACGAGTGTTTGGAGATCCTGTACAGGAGGTACGGCAAGCGAGCCATGGAGAAACTACAGGATAAGGTCTTGGCATCTGCCTATTAGCACAAGACACTGAGCCTGGAGGTTTCAGCTGTTGAAGATGTTTGGAAGAGAGATCGACTACGGGGAGTTCGTGGAGGTGAGTCGTTAGACTACAATGCTGCACTTTCTCGCTCTCCATCCTCCTCCTCCATCTCCCCCGAGATCCTCACGGTTCGCAGTTGGTCGGGAGCAACGTGGACGGGGGTGGCAAGATGCAGGTTCTGCTGGAGGAATACGGGCTGGCACCAACCGCGGTACTTGCAGAGACCAGGATGCGCTGATCTGACATGAACCTTCCCTTTCCAGACCCCCGTCCCACCTCCTAGGAGGGGGAGCAGAACTCCACGGTGAGACACGTTTGAGCTGATTGCATCCTAGTTTCTTTCTGCCATGCTCCTCCCGATCTCCCTCCTCCATCATCTCAAACTTGCTTGTACCCTCCTCCACCTCCACACCTCACTCTTCCTCAGGGGTCTTCAGCGCAAGGGGGTTCAATAAGACGAAATTTCATGTTTCATCATTGTACACGCGCCTACCTCGACATAGTAAAAATGCCAGGGATCCGATCCAAGTAGCTCAACAAGATTCAGTAGAGGATTAGCCCACGATAAAGTTTCTAGCTATCTTGCAGATCCCCCACACCCCTCCTCTCCCCTTCCTCGTCCTTCCCCTTCCTCTTCCCCTCCCCTCCTTGCCCTGCCCCCTCCTCCCCCTTCTCTCCCTCCCCCTTCTCTCCCCCTCTCCTGCTAGCAGCTAGAGGAGATGATGACCTTCGTATCGCCCCCTTGTCGTATCCCCGCTAGATATATATAATAATAAAATAATGTATATTTGTACCTTATTTATATAAGTTTTATATACACAAAGGTCTTAGAAAGGAGTTGTATCTGCAGGCGAGGGGGGAGGGGCAGGGGTTCTCTACGCCCTTGAGGGTGGTCAAGTGCCACAGGGTAGGGGTGGGGTACACTATTGTACCATACCAGGGGGTAGTTCAGTTGCAGCTCTATTTAGTTAAGGGAGGTTTGTGGGGTGGGGTGAGAAATCAGGAATGAGGGGGTCCATCCTCCTCCGCCCTCTTGACCAGTACTGATTTATAGAATGTCGTTCGTGAGGGGTGGATGGCAGAAGGAGGGGGTAGTAGGTGTACCCGTATCCACCTATATATTTTTTATCATTTTAGGGAGTGCAAAAACTGGACCCTCACCCTGTTGCACAGGACACCCACCCAGATTATACCCACGTATTCACAGTATATAAGGGGGTATAGACATCCGAATGTTTTTGGGGGGTCAGGTTACCATCTAATAATGTTTAAATATATTTATATTTGATACAGTTTCCCTATCATATACAAATATTTAATAGCAAAACCAATGTAAGGGGAATGTAAGCCTGATTATCAAAAGTACGAGGTCTAATAAGAACTTTTGTTGCACAACTCAGCTAAAGTTCATTCCACAAAGGAAGTTTAACTGCATCAAAAGTTCCTATACAGGCCTGACCATGAACTTTTCAGGAGATAGTACATGAATCTTCCGTGACCTTCGCTTCCCCGCGGGGCGGCACGAGGCATGGACGTGAGGTAGGAGGAACGAGGAGTGTGCCGCCGCTGCCATGGCGAAAAATCGTTGCAATGCACTGTAAATGTGTAGAGATTGATGTTGATTCTTGCCCGTCATCGCATGTTTGTTCGTTTTCTGAGCTCTTGAGGGCCTTGGCTGCTCCACAACATCCGGCTCACAGCTGTGCTTTGAGCGTGTTTCAACAGTGCGCATTGCAAACACCATGATTCAACTTGCTAGCAGATGTTTCCGTTCTCACTCCCTACATCTCTGTTGTCCAATGTTTCTTTGGAAATGAGAGGTGTTCGGTGTGGTCCTTGTACAAGAGCGGTTCAGAGTGCACATCATGGTGATTGATCTCTGACATTAGCTTCAGTTGAATCGTGAAACCGCTGTTTTGCTGCCGTTTTCATAGACAGGAATGCCAAACTCTGGCAAGATTGTTCTTACCCCCGATATAGAAGAGCTGGTATTCTCCGCGTCTGTGATGAGTTGAGATCGTTTCTTGATGTGTTGATCTTCAGGTAAGAGAACGAGTTCTGGCTGAAACAAGAGCGTTGGAGGTGAAATTCCTCATCTTCCTGCTGGCGATTCTTCTAGCCTTTGGTGCTTTCACGTGTCTGTCATGGGGGAGGAAAGTGAAACGATCCCACGAACGCGAAAGAGATTTTGATGGCGAAGCGAGTTTTGACACCAAAAAGCGCGCAAACGAGAATCTGCAGCAACTTCGCAACCTGAAGCAGCTGCTTCGCAACCAGCAGGTGATACGGTTCAGATATGCGCTGCTGTGCCACTGACGATATGAGCAGGCGCTGAAAGATTTTCAAGATGAGGGGCTGGACGAGTTTGTGCGCAACAACCTCGAGGAGTTGTGCGCCAAGAGGACATCAAGCAACTCAACAGATAAGAGCAGCGATAGTGCAAGAGGACGTGCGTACGATCAGCCGGTTGAGCACAGTACTCGAACGGTCCCTGACTCCCCCCTGCGTCGCATGTCTGCGGTTCCTCTCATGCCTGACAGGCACGACGGGATTTCACTAGCTCCTGCTGAGAGGGAAAACGCGTTCCGAAGGATGTCGACGACCAACCTGACTGTGCACACGGAGCACCAGCCAGTTGAGCGAACTCCTTCCTCCAGCAGCGGCTGCACCACGAGGTCTGATCGAATGCAAAGCTCGCCGCTGCAGAAGCCGCAGAAGCCGCCCAACATCCCTCCGCTGCGGTTGCATCAGATTCCTCCTCAGAACAGAGAAGGGTCGTTCGTAATGCAACGGGAGATGATGTCGGGTAGCGGTATCTGGTCGAACCACCACCCCGAAGGCAATGGTGTGCCACACCCAATGCGACGAACGTCGAGCTCGATCTCGCCAACGAGGAGGATGTCTCAGCCCAGCTACGATCGCTCCTTCAACAACGAGGGTTCTCGTTCGCCGGTCAGAAGCATGCAAGACGGGGGGAGGATTTCTCCATCTCGCAGGATGCAAGCGGGGAAGAGCAGCGGCACTCGGTTCTACGCAAGCATCGTGAGCAGAGAAGTCAGGCAGCGCTCGCCGAGGATGCAGGCCAACGACTCCTTCAATAACTTGGCGGGATCCGAAAACATGTATGACAACGAGGGGGCGAAGCATGAGCCGGAGGAGAGCGAGTCGTTTGCCAACAGAGGCAGACAGGCGTATGCTTCTCAATCGAACCTGAGTGGCTATGAAGAACAAGCGCCTGCAGAGGAGAGTATGCCGGCCCCGCAGGTGTTTCGTCGCAAGCGATCGCAGGGAGTCGATCAGCATGCTACAAGCTAGCGTTGGATGTTCTGTACAGGAAGTTAGGCAGGTGGGAAAAGTCTTTATGTAGAAAGTGAGATGTTGCCAAGACGCAACGGCGAGCAGGAAGAGGAGTGGGGGGGGGGGGGGAAGGAGGAGGAGGAGGAGGAGGGCGGCTGCTCTTGCGTTTATTGTTTCCTGTCGCTTTTGCTCAGAGCAGGAGAGGCTTCAGGTGGATCATGTTGGTATTATGCGATGATGGGACGCCCATAAGTCCCGCATGGCTGCTGGGCGGAACTTGCGGCAGGAGAGGTTAGAGGTCCTCTCTTCATTATCTTGTAGCTTTAAGTTGGTTGTAATCTATTCGAAAACTCACCCGAGAGCTGAGGACAGGGGTTGGCCAGCCTCATCAGAGCCTGTAGAAGGTGAGAGGAACGTTCTCTATCACTGAGAAGTCGTTCTCAAACTCGACGACAACATTCGCCTCGAAGTCAAGCTGCCATCTACGTCACTCGCTCCTCCCCTCCTCCCTCCCTCTCTGCTCCCCCCCCCCCCC